AAATTTTGACAACCACGGAGTTTTCGGTCAACGATTTCGGCTTGCCATGCCATAGAACACATTGAATCTTTGTTTGTTTGAGCAAGGAGAAGCACGTCGGTAAAATAAAGTTCATTAAGTGTTGGGAAAAGACAAGGCTGACAGAAACAACAGAGAGAAAGACGTAAAGAAGTAGAACCACCCGTCAAGGAGCTCAGAAGTAGGCGTACAACACTGTAATGAAACGTCCTTGGTTACTGTTTGACAAACGGCCACCCAAGACTGTATTCTTCAGTCCTGGCGGCCACTTTCAGCTCACACGCAGAAGGTACGAGCTAAGCTTACGTGGGCGGCAATACTTTAAGCCATACTTTAATGTGTACAATGCTTCTTTTCCTCTCTGGAAGATAATTTATCCCCGGTCTGAGTTCTTTTCCGTCTGTTCATATAAGAAAAAAGTTGCAACCAACCAACCAACAAAACAAACAAAACAAACAAATAAACAAACAAAAACAGTCCTCAAAAATTCAAAATACACTTACAAAAAGGAGAACAAAGTAGATTCTAGTTCTGAGGTCAGTTATGGTGATGGTGATCATTATTTGGTATCATACTGGCCTACATGTATAACCTATATATTTTCTATTGTTTTATCTTTTTTGTTGGGTTTTTTTTTTTTTTTTGGTCGCAGTCCTTTTAATGTAGAAATACGTAACAGTTTTGCTGTGTGATTTTGTTTTATTTTGTTGTTGTTGTTGCTTTTTGTTTTGTTTTGGGGATGGGGCACTTTTTTTGTTATTGTTTTGGGGAGACAGGGATGAAAGCAAACATCGTACGAAAATAAAGCTAATGACGGTAGGCCTAATCTTCTTTTAATAATCAATTCTGCGTTTCACAGATGTAGCAAAAACGCAGTAAATACAAAAATGCTAGATCTAGTAGTTAGTAGTTATAAGTAGGCTCGTGTTAGTCAGTGTTCAATCTTTCATGCTGCCGAGAACAACTCTGCTCATCTACGGCAGACAAATCTCCGTGGCGCTGAAAATTGAACTATTCACAGAATTTCCCGCTTCTCACAAATATTTTACTTACGTATGTGGCCTACGTCACAGCTCACTAATTACAATTCTTAGTGGTAAAACTTTAGCCCACGCCTTCGATCTCCTGATAAATGACAAGTTTAATTTTAAGGTCTTCCAGCTCATACTTCATAGCTAGTTTGATAAGAAGCGTCATGGTGGTGAGGAGGAATCATAATTTGATCGCAGTCGGTTACTGTGGTCGGGTGCCTTGGTTAGATGCCGTCATTCTTGGCTTTGTTTGATTCCGGTAAGAATGTGCGATTCTTCAAACAATCTTAACAGATTATCACTAACAACTCTATGTCATAGTTATATATTTAATAGTAACTTACAAGTAAAATAGGTGAAGAATAGTGTAACCCACTCCTAGTCAGTAGCGAAGCGCTGATGCCGATGTAATTTGGTTCGACCAAGCACTAAAAATCCTCAAAACATGAGTTCCTTGACCATAAGCTTACTGTCGCGAAAAGAAGTAGGACAAACTTGCTTTTAACAGTGCTATTGTCTCAGCTCATATGTAAGCCATTTGAAATCTGTAGACATCGGCTTGGATTTTTTTTTTAAATTAGTACATGTAGGCCTATTTATAGATGAATTTTCTAGATTAAAGCGCTCAGTTGTTTTTTTAATTCATCTGTTATTACAAATTGATATAAGTATAAGTCACTGTGCAAAAGTTGGCGAGTCTTATGTTCTATAGTCTAGTTGAGTATTTGACTATAAATTGCGAAACGAATTTTTGACCGCACTATAACAGTAATCACTACACCACGGACGTCATGTTATAACGCAAGTAATGTATAACGACAAAGTCAGATATAAAAAGTGTTTCTCCACAATAATAAAGTGATGATTGCTTCTTGATGGAGATGTTTATACGCCGCGATCGAAACAAATTAGATCTGTGAGAAGGCGGGCTTCGACATTGTCTGTCAGGGCCAACCTGGGCTGAGGAGAGAGACGCAATGCCTCAGCAGAAAAACCGAGATACTCGATAAAAATTCTCCGCCCACGGGAATCGAACTCGGGTCTTCTGCGTGCGACGGCAAGGTGCCTAACCGCTACAGCACAGACACCAGTTACGGTACTCTGAGCACGTAGGCTTGTTGGTCGGTTCAGAAAGTCCCCAAGCAGGTGGGAAGCCTATTTCTGAAATCTTAAGTAGATCTAGCCATATATATA